GAAAAGAAAGATACTTCTTTCAAGCCTCCCACCCACACACGCATACCACAGTTGGACAAATTTCGCAGCAACAGTGCACTTCTTCAGACGGGCATTTTATTAAATGGTACAACGGCATAGTAAACACAAACAAAGCAAAAATTACATCATCGCAGTATGACCAAGTGACAACTTCAAGTCAAAACAAAACAAACTAAATGATATTGATGAGCAACAACTGTGGCTGACAACAGTTGCTACGTAATAGTGAAATACATGCAGTGAAAAAGTAAACAACAACACACATTAAAAGGGGAGTACATTTAGACCATACGTCTGTGCACATGTCCTGCAATACATGTGTTACAGTGTTAGACAACTCAAGTTAATTCTGACCTTTAATTAAATCTAAAGAGCAAGTCGGTGTCAGAACAAGTCTAAAACCTGGACTTCAATTGTACAGGTCAATGAACTTTACTGTATTACTGTAGGGCAAAGTGTCATTTTTAAATTCAAGCTTTCATTTGTCATAGTGAAAACAAGTCACAGTTCAAACACAGTTTTGTTCTTTGGAAATATAAACTTCCTTCTTTAAAGACCAAGTGTGTAGGCTTGAGTGGCATCTATCAGTAAGGATAAAGGTAACAACCCTCTTAATGCCGCTCACCTCGTTAAAAAAAAAAAAAAAACTAGATTTTATCCATACATGGTTCAACAGGCACAGGGTGCTGGCACGGCTAAAAAGCAAATTGTTACAAACCGAGCTAAAACAAAATCTCAAAATCTGTCAAGTTTCAAACCGAACTGCTGGAGACAAACCAGCCCCTCTTTCTCTCCACCGGCATTACCTGCAGGCGGAGTCCCATCAGAGGAGGACAGAGGAGGACAGAGGACAGGACGTACTGATGTCTGTCGGTGTTCTTCATTCTTTAGAAACTCAGTATTTCAGAAATAGGATTTATTTTATTGACATATGAGATTTGTTTGCAGTGAGGTATTATTGAGTTTCTACAGTGACATTACTGTCGCTCTCTCTCTACAAACCACATTTAGTTTTATTTGAAATATTCAATTGTAATCCTGTTCTGAATTTAAAGACGACCATGCTGACACAGTAACTGTAGAGCTAATATGCACTCTTCAGTATTTATCTCTCACCTGGTAGAGCGTACCCCACGTACCCCTTACGGCAGCCACCCTGGATTTGCTGCACGTCATTCCCTCCCCCCTTCCTAATAACTAATTTCCTTCTTAGAGGTTAGTTTTAATGATCATGTTTTAGTAGGCGTTTTTCTTTTTTTACACAAACAGTTTTCACTCTCGCACCTGTTGGCCTCCATCCGGCAGAACTCTCTCTGCCTCTCTTCAAATCACACTTTTTGCACTGCGTTTAACACTCTGGCTGACCACAAAGAGCAGCTCTCACAGTGTGATATGACATTTCACCCCTGACCGAGAGCTTTAGTCATCAGCAAAAACATGCCTCAGTACGGCAATGTTTCACAAAATTGAATGGAAAAAGCTTGAGCTGTCACATGCAGATTAGATGTATGTGACGATCAAATTTCTCCACCATGAAAGGATTTTATTTTTAGCAAGTGCATTTGGCCAACGACAGGGTTAAAACTTTGGTCATGGTTGCATTAGAACAACTGGTTCCACGTTGGTTGGGTTTGTTTGTTGTACCTAATGGCTTTATTAATGATTCATTTAAATAAAAGAACTAATGCTTCTTTGATCAGTCACATGCCGTCTTTGAGAACAATATTTGGTCTGCAAAACAATCTCTCTGGCTGGTGTTTCTCCTCCAGCATGCAACTTTTGTCTTTTTAGCCAACTCCTCACTTGGGCCTGTCACAATAATTACATTATCGGCAGAGTGCAACATACATATGTAATTGTCGTCTGTCACAAAATCGACTTATCGTCAGGTATATGGACATGACCGTGATCATTTTTGCTGACCTCGGTATCGCCCCTTTCGTTTACATTAGTGTTTGTTTACATAGGAATGATGCCAGAATAAACAGCAGGGTTTTCTACACGCTTATAAGACTTGGGCTCAGCACATAAGCCCAGAGAACAGAACAAATCTATGCTTTCCAATTCCAGTGTCGGAATTAATAGTGCATTGCTCTAGGGGTGTACTTGCATTGTTATGCTTGTTGTATCAGTGGCATAAAATGGTCTTAAACTAACCCTTAAAATTATTTTATGGACAATATATCGTCCAAAAAAAAAGTATTTATCGTCAATCCGTCAGACAGTTGTAAATGTTAATAAGTTGTTAAGTGTATTTGGGTTCAGTGGTCAGACTGTCAATAGATGGGGCCTTCCTGATAGACTAAACTAAAGAGAATGCATGTGTTACACTGGAGGAGGATCAGGTAGATTGTTCACTGCATGGCAACCCAGAAGTTGGATGATAACTGTTCTATAAATCATTAGTAAATCATGGTTTAATCATTAATAAAAACATCTGTTGCAACCCATTAACCCTTTATAAAGGGAGCCTTACTAGAAAGTCGCACAGCAACACTCCTTAAGACCTTAAATCTCCACACCTTTATCTTTCACCGCACTATTTCAATTTTTGTTACCTTACTTACCTCACCTATTACATTACCACCTATTTTGAGACACTGTGCTCATTTTGACAAAGCTGCTTAGTAATACTTTAAATGCGCACGCGCACACACACACATATCCACAAACCACAGGTAGAGGGGTTCCTTGATGGCAGCCACTGGAGGAAATTCTTCTGAATTTTAAATCTACCTGAGGACACATTTTCCCTTCTGTATGTGCATCACAGAAGGGACTCCTGATAAGGAGGGAGTCTGAGGGTGATGCACCACTCAGACCAGTCGAAGCCCCCACCCACCCTTTCCCTTACGCTGACAAAGAGAGAGAACAGACGAGAGGGGTTTTCTCTCTCAGTTTCACTCTCACTTCCTCCCCTCTGGCGAAAAAGACAGATGTAAAGATTGTGTGCGAACGTGTGAACACTGACGGGGCAGGGTGACTGCACAGGGTGTGAGCTAGCGGTGCACATGGACACACTGACTAACATATGATGCCTCCTGAATTTCCAAAATGTGTAATACTAATGCATATTGGAGTCGATGACCATCCCTGAAGATGTTTCCGTACACATTTCCATTTTAATAACTTCTGTGACCTGAAAACACAGTGGTGATTAAGAAAGCCTTTCTATGTGCATAAACACTGAAAAAACTAATAGTAATAATAATAATATGAATCTATTTGTTGGCTGCATGAGGCAACACACATCAAAGTGACTGATCCTCAGAGGCACAGCTGTGCACTAAGCCTGTATGTTTTGACATTTTATTGATGTGATGGCTGATACTTGGACAATGTGTTTCAAAAGCGAGCAAAAGAGCACAGAATTACAAATATGTTCCGTTTCTAAGTGGTGTTGGTGAGTAATGTCTGAGCCCAATGAAGACTACACATGTGCAACACACACCCGTTTACCATGTCGACCCACACCAGTCGTACACACTGGACACATCAGATGTAGTCAGCGTCCTGCAGTCAGATGTGCCGATTTTAGGAATAAATACACGAAAATGTGCTGTTTTTCTGGTGAGTTGGAACGCATCGATGCTGTGAAACGGGACTGCGGCGTATCCTGACACCCTGACACGTGTTAAGACGCCACCGGAGTTTATATGGAAAACTATGGGTCCAGATGTCTTGTCCGCATCATATATCCTCAGTGTGTGTTGCCCTGACTGTTTGAGTCAGTGTATGTGGATGAGTACAGTGACATGTGGGGTTTGTGTTCACAGGTGCAGCAACGAGAGCCCAATAACTGGAGGGGATAAGAAGTGATTTCACCGATCATTTCAACTTCAAGAAGAACTCTGACTTGCTGTTCATTGATAGTTTGTGCACAACATGTGGCAGTAATAAACTGACATCTACGATGTGTGTGTCCTTTCTTATTTGTTGAGCTTGATAAATATGATTTATTTACGAGAGAAACAGTCTTCTCCTAACTGAAATACTGTAATAAATAAATGTATCTTTATTGGCAATACTGTGAGTCTAAAAGAGAAAAATGCACTTCTTTTGTATTTTGGAATTTGTTTACATTAATGCATAATGTAAAAGTAAATCTCTGAGATTAACGTATTTATCAACAAACTTTTTTGCTCAACTAAAGAAAATATAAATCAAAATCTTGATTCATCCATGTTTTTTTCCCCTGTATCACTGCATGTTTCAATGTATCTGGTTGTTCTCTACAGTCGGGTTTGAAAAGGATTAAACTTCATAACGTTTAACAACTTTTACTGTGAATCATTTCATTGTGTAAGCGTGAACAATGCTGTCCTAAATGACTTTCCTGTGATTGCTGTTTCGGGTTATCTACCACACGGGCTTGCATGAGACTTGACAGCTCACTTGAGCTTATCTTTGCAAATGGACAGAAAGTGACCTTTTTCTGGTTGATGAGTAATAGTGAGATGAAAGGAGGCAAGCGTCGGCCTAAACACGGCCAGAATTTCTCTACTGTTATGTAGCAGTGGACTTCCTTCACAGAAAAAATATATCTATTTTCTTCTTTTTGGCTCAACACTACTACCGAATTAAAAATGTTTCCTGTTGTTGCAACATGCTCATGTGTGTACGTGTAGGTGGCCATAATGCAGTGAATGCATTCAGGTTGTCAATACCACACCTACGAACACTACCTATGACACGGTATAGCTGCGGCTCCACTGATTCAAAATGAAAATGGGAAGTGCCGTCTTCCTGTAGTTTCCTGTCGAATGCACTCAAACAAGTTTACGTTCACACACACTTGCATCTATAGGCCCCACGCACGCGCGTCTTGACGCCACTCTCGAATCACGTAGTGGTGACTGCCAGTGGAAAAGAAAATTTCATTACTCACACACACCAGTTTCTGCAGCTTTCCAACTCTCTGCAAGTGGTTTTCCTGTGTCCTCAGGGATAAGTATAAAAAGGTAAGCAACACAACTGTCTGCATTTCCAGTAAATCTTTCGAAACGCGACTTTTGGTGATCTAGTGCCTGCTGCCGACACTGAGACTATGAAGCTGCTTGTGTTTTGCCTTTTTGCAGTCTGCTGCTGTTCTCTGGCCAACTCAACATCAAACAGGATTTTGCAGAGGAAAAAGTTACAAGAAATCCTGAAACAGCTGAAGGATGTGAGACAAAGCCTGCAGATGCAGGTAAGTCCTTCTACATTTACTTTTTCACAGCTTTGCCCGTGTACAGCTAGTGCAGATGTCATTACTAAATACCATGCTGTCCGTTTGTTTCTTGCAGCAGAATGATCAGATGCTGAATACTCCAGAGAACATTGGGGTAAGTCAAACTAAATTGTATTCAATATAATAGTATGGTCACCGTCACAGTAAATATTTGTGGTTGCTTACTCATTGTTGTTATTCTCCCACTTGTTGTAGTTACTGCCACTGTATTGTAGGAGTACATCAAATAATATGAAATGTGTTGGGTTGAGCATATATAATCAATCAGCTGTAAAATAAGATGATTAAAGGCTTATAATGAGATTTTTAAATAGGTTTAGATTTTTTTTTATTTCACATCTTCTCCAGACTGCTCTAAGCTCGTACATATACTGTACGGCAGAGGCACCAGTCAGACCTACGTTAGCCGTCCAAAGATTACGAAGCTAAATCTTATAAAAAAAATCTGTCATCCTTTATGGAGTAAACTGAAGTGTGAGCTTATATTTTTAATTTAACATAGCAAACATGGAATCTACTAAGATAATGACGTTTTGGAAATGATCAATCACAGTACAAATGTAATGTTTGAGTTTCTCTGTAAGAATATTCCAGTTAAACAGTGTTATAGAAAACAAACTAAAAATAATTATTGGTATTAGTCGTGTTAGAATTTTCCTAGAAACGCCTGCAGTCCGTCAGATTAAATCTAAATAATAAAATATTATAATCATCAAAACTGTGATCTTATTACAGCAATGACATTTATCTCAAGTGCCTTAAAGGACATGCAGATTAGTATGATTAGAACTTGTAGAAAGGAAACCCAATTTTTCTGCAATGTTTAGACGTGTCTAAAGGCCAAAACAATCCCACATAATGTGATTATGTGCACTTGACTTCAAATAAATGCCTCTGAAGATTTAACTGCATTACTTCAGATTCAAATTTAGATCAGCCATTTCTTGTCAGGCTTATGCTCTTGAGTGAGTCAAGTCAAGAGCTTGCTCTGTGTATTTTCTCACAGCATCCGTTGCACTCTCAAATGTGATGAGTAATCAAGCAGAGAGCAGACTTCCTCACACCACAACACAAACTAAAAATGTTCTCTAGCGTGCCAGAAAACATTTGACTGGGTCTCTTGTTTTTTTTTTTTCATTACGGCTTATCTTGAACCACAAACGATAAGGACTCCTTAGTAGGCGTGACGCCACTATTTTGCTAAATTACGTTTCATGTTTAGAATAAAATCACTACACTACAGAGCAATGGCACCACAGTTTGTGACTGTCAAATGCAAAAACACCAACATTTGTAGCAGTAAAAAAGTATTAAGTCAGCTGTTCTTATTGTGTCTCTTGTTCAGTTCTCATCCTGAAGGAATAGTCCAACCTGCTAATTCTCCAAGCAGACATACTGTGATCTAAAACAATTTTTTGACCCAAGCTAGTTGGGTTCATTGTGTGTCTAAACAGAAACTAACCGTTTCACTTGGAAAAAAAAAAACACATCAACACTTTCATTAAGATTTCTGAAGGGAAACAATTCAGACCAAAAAAAAAAAAAAAAAAAACTTTTAGGAACAGAAACACATCTTGAAAATAGTGGAAACTTTGGTTAAGTTTCAGTTTAGATAAAAGTGCTGTACATGCATCTGATTGGAAAGTCAACTGCTATGATGAAGTCATGACATGAAACTAGAAACAACAGCTTTCTTGGAAATGTTTTGATGGCAGTGATGGGACGATTTATTTCCTCAAATTGATACATGTAGAATTGTGTCATACAAAAGTTCACAATCAAATCAAAACCTGTAACAGACTAGTAGATCTATGGCAAATCTGGCAGATCTAATGACAAAATACAACTTTTAAAGCTCTATCTTCTTTTTTACGGTTAATCAGCCATATGTGTCTGTGTCATTTTCTGTAAAATAACCAAAACTAACTTAAAGAGTAAACTAAAACTAAGATAAATACAAAATTGTGTGTGCTATTACGCACTTTTTAAGGTATTCAATGTTTTATTCACAAACATTCTCTTTTTTTCATTATGCAACAGGACTGCTGCAGTCTGTCAGCCTTGGAATGCTTTCGGGCTAATCTGCAGGTGAAATTCAACATGACAAACAAGAAACACATCAAATTTTACAGGAGCCTCAACAATACCATTACTGTAAGTAAATTGGTGGGGGGGTGGCATGATTTATTATCACTATATCTAAAAGCATCTCATATATACAAGTACAATGTCAAGTTTGTGGTACTGTAAATCAAAAACTAACATTTATTTCATCCATTTCAGGTTCAAGGTTTGGACTTTTGTAATTCACCAAATGGGAAGGTAAGACAATATTATTATTATTATTATTATTATTCTGTGTAGTTATTCTGCTGTTATTCTTTTATTTATTCACCACTGATATTTCAGTCATATAAACAACTGTGTGTGAGTGTGACATGTGTTGCTCTCCCAGTAGATGTTCATTAGCAATTAATCATTTGCCCGTTTTCCTTTAGTCCACCTGCCCAGACTGCCTCTCACATCCAATGAAAAATGCCAATGAGTTTTTCAACGGACTGATGACTCTTATTCAAAAGGTAAGGGTATTTCTGTCTTCCTTTTCTTATTCAACACACTGTAGTATAAGGAAAAGGTGGCTGAAAATCTGCAGCGCTACATGTCTTTAATGTTGTAAAGATGTGAATATATGAAACAATGCCTGATGTGAAAATTCACTATCAATTGTTTTCCTCTTTAGGGAATCACCAGACTGAACAGCATGAACTGAGAAGAGGATGACCAAGTGACCAAGGATTGAATGTAGAGAAGACACTACGCTGAAAAGATGCTAAACATGTTATAGCCTTCTAAATATTTAACTATATACTTATTTAATATTTATTTAGATAGTGGTGATGAACCTACTCAAGCTATGGAGAAGGTATTCTCATGAGAGCTGCTGTGCTGCCACCCAGTGGACGTTTTTGGATTTTCTTTTTCACTGAAAGTGAAAGTTAATTTATTTGTTGTAGTTCTCAAAGAATATAAAGTATATACTGACATTTATACTGTGTATGACGTGCTTAGTACTGACATTTTTTTGATCGAAAAAATTGTGTCATCTGAATATATTAAACTGATTTTAACACAGAGGTTTTGGTTTGCTTGGTTTATTTGTAGGCCAATGTATCTGATTCTAGCAGATCACTCAAAGTTCTTATAATCTGCACCTCCTCAACCACCATGACTAGCTTTAAACTTTACAATGTTCTCTGAGAGTATATCGACTGGTTGACATGAGCACTGACAGTATGTCACTGCTTAATTTTGATGTATGTGATGCGTGTTGCCTTTCTTTTCCGATGAGCATGTCAAAGTTAAACCAAACATTTACATGAAATGTATTGGATATTTGGCCGCATAGCCTCTAGACTAAAACAGGACAGCAAAGAAAAGTGGTTTTCCATCTTTTGTACAAATTGTGGCGCTAAACTAAACTTAGAAGATACACTGTTGACCATTTTCAACCATAGGTGGCAATATGAGTCCTTCCAGCTGATACTGATCACATGTCATGAGAGCAAACTATGCTTTTTACATACAGTGTTTCTACATTTTTATATTTTCCCCAATCTGAAACCACTTATGGGGGCATCAATATATGTTCTTGACTAAAGCATATTAGGAGTTAGTGCAAACTGTCAGTATTTGATATGTTTGTCAAAGTTTTACTCTGTTGAGTAAATGAGTTGTTGTAAAACTATCATGGAAATAGTACCACTGCTGATGAAGCTGTCCTAGTGAAATAAAGTTGAAGTTAAAAAAACAAAGCCAGCACAGAAATGTTGTCAATGTTCGACACATTCTGCCCTCATAATTCAAAGCATGGTTGAAAATGACCAAAATGTCACCAGACTCATTTTTATTTCTTGCCTGTGGATCTTTTACTGTTTGATCTCCTTATTAAGATGTACTTTGTAATTTTTTGATTTCCTATTACAATATATTCATTACACTCCCCTTATTAAGTGTTTGGTATCTTAAAAAGCAGGGTCAACTGATAGCACAGCAGCAGCACTACCAATGATATGTGAAATCTTAGAAACATGGGACACAATGGTCATAGCTTCTTAACACAGATTTCAGGGCCAAATATAAATGATCATATCTGATGGTCAGCTGATAGATCTTTGCCCCTACCCACCACCAGAGGGTGCCATGTTGGAGGTAAGGTTTTGGCAGTTAGATGTGTATATGACCTAGGTAGGAACTGAAATATTCAGTTTTTGCTGTTCAGACACATTCAAACATGGTCTGTTTTTTTTATTTATTTGAAAAATAAAACATCTGTCTGCCCATATTCACTTCACTATTGTTAAAAATCCAGGTGGTTAGATTCTGTGGCAAGAAAACTACCCCGAAAGCACAAACAAGTATACAACAACAAGGCAATCCAAATACCACTGAAAACTCTCACAATGACAGGTGCAAACATGTTTTTCAGCAGGTGTCCTAAAACACCACTACTGTGGACTTCCCAGATGACAAGGGGGATTTCAGCAACTCAAACAACAAACTCGTCAAATTATACCCAGATGTATTTCACACCTGTGAATAAAGATTCTTGAACTGCAGCCTGTGTTGACTAGATAAACCTTGGCCTACGCTTTAGTCAAGCGAAAAAAAAAAAGAAGAAAAAAAAAAGAACTGTCACTGTCAAACTGTGCCATTGCAGAAGAGGAAAACACAGAAAGTAAAGGGGAGTAATAATTTCCCCTTGTCCTTTGCCTTTCACAGAATAGTCAATTTCCCTTTCTAATACCACATGCCCACTTACGCCAACCAAGCTTGTTTCTAGCTTTCTCTTCCCAACTGTTATTTGGCAGCCAGTGTGCCCACTGATGCAAATACAGGCTGAACTTTGCAGAATTCTGTGTATTTTCTTTTTGCTTTTTAAAAGGTTTTTGATTTGTCATCCATCTGTGCATATCTGCAATGATAAAGGCAGTGTCATAAAGTCAACCCACTCGCCACATTTCCATTACTAGTGCTTTGTATGGTTTTCTTTGGAAAATGTATAGAGGCCTGGTTGATTTTTCAAAAATAAAAAAATAACAGTGACATAAAAGTGAAATATATGATTTGGTACAAACATTTTTTAAAATGGCACAGATGGTGCCAAAGTGTGCCAAAATGGCCAATTTGGAGATTCCGCCTAGTCTGTACTAAAACCTCTGTGATTGCTCTGCCTCACTTGACTCAAACTTGGCAGAGATAATGTCCATGTAGAGCTGCAACTGCATCATTTCAAAGAGATATTCATTGTAAAAGTCAGAATTTTTGTTGAAATGAAATCTTTCATTTATGCTGTGTGCCATCTTAATTTACTCTGAGCCAGTGACATACATACGGATACTTACACATCTGAACAAATGTCACAAGTGTTCCCTTTATTATGACACCAAAATTATTCAGATAGACCTTGTAGTTGCAGAGATATACTCTATTCATTTTAGGTATGTCATTTTTGAGCAGAGGCCTAAAAAAAGAGGCTGGGGCTTACAAATGGGCTTCTTAGAATCTGTGTAAAGGGCTGTCCACACCAGGAACAACAACGGCAACGGCCCCAAGCACCTTCATAAATAAAAATGATAGAACGACAGTTCTTTTCTTTTTAATAGAAAGGATGAGCCAACTTTTTAATATAGTATCAAGTTGTTTTAAGGTAACTTAACACACACAACATAAAGTACATGATCTCTTGATATTACTCAGCAAAAACAATATAAACGTGATATCTATGTCAGATTTAGAGATCTCTGTGATCTAGCCATACCTGGTTATAGTGTTTTCACACATGACAAAAATTCACATGGGACAAGAGTCGCTATATACAACAAACAAAACCACATTTCACTTCAGAATTCAGAAATTATCTGATGAATCCAGCGGTAGAAACCCTTTGGCTTCAAATTAATTCACCTCATGTTAAACCATTAACTGTTGTTAACTGTGATACACGACCAAGCTCTAGTGTACTATACACGGATGAGAAATGTGTTATGTTTCAGAAAGTTTCAGATTCAGATAGAGATATACTGTACTTTCTAGGAGACTGGGAGAACATTGACTGGCTTTCTCAGTCCTGTGCCCTGACACAGAGATTACTACTTGTAATGAATGTATGTGTATTGTGTAATACCATCCACATGCATAAACCATATTTACAGTTGCAAGAAAAAGTATGTGAACCCTTTAGAATTACCTGGATTTCGGCATAAGTTGGTCATAAAATGTGTTCTGATCTTCATCTAAGTCACAACAATAGACAAACAGTCTGCTTAAACTAACACCACACAAACAACTGTGTTTTCATTAAGCACACCATGTAGACATTCACAGTGCAGGCTGGAAAAAGTATGTGAACCCCTAGGCTAATGACTTCTAAGAGCTAATTGAAGTCAGGAGTCAGCCAACCTGGAGTCCAATCAATGAGACAAGATTGGAAGTGTTGGTTAAAGCTGCCCTGCCCTATAAAAACCACACACCAGTTTTGAGTTTGCTATTCTCAAAAAGCACTGCCTGATGTGAACCATGCCTTGCACAAAAGAAGACAAATTGTCTATAAATGGATAAATGGAAGTTCAGCACTGTTGCTACTCTCCCTAGGAGTGGCCGTCCTTTAAAGACGACTGCAAGAGCACAGCACAGAATGCTCAATGAGGTGAAGAATCCTAGAGTGTCAGATAAAGACTTACAAAAATCTATGGCACATGCTAACATCTCACAGAGGAAGCCACTGCTCTCCATTACAAATACTGCTTTGAAGTTTTCAAAAGAGCACCTAGATGTTATTCTGTGGACAGATGAAACCAAAGTTGAGTTGTTTGGAAGGAACGGACACCACTATGTGTGGAGAGAAAACCTCCTCCCAACTGTGAAGTATGGTGGAGGGGGCATCATGGTTTGGGGCCTGGACAGATTGCTATCATCGACGGAAAAATGAATTCCCAAGTTTATCAAGACATTTTGCAGGAGAACTTAAGGCCATCTGTCCACCAATTGAAGCTCAACAGAAGATGATGCAACAGGACAACCACCCAAAGCACAGAAGTAAATCAAAACAGAATGACTTCAACAAAAGAAAATACGCCTTCTGGAGTGACCTCAAAACCGATTGAGATGCTGTGGCATGACCTCAAGAGAGCGATTCACACCAGACATCCCAAGAATATTGCTGACTTGAAGCAGTTTTGTAAAGAGGTAATGGTCCAAAATTCCTCCTGACCGTTGTGCAGGTCTGATCTGCAACTACAGGAAACGTCTGGTTGAGGTCCTTGCTGCCAAAGGAGGGTCAACCAGTTATTAAATCCAAGGGTTCACATACTTTTTCCACCCTGCACTGTGAATGTTTACATAGTGTGTTCAATATAAAAAAATTGAAAAACATAATGGTTTGTGTGGTGTTAGTTTAAGCAGACTGTGTTTGTCTATTGTGACTTAAATGAAGATCAGAACACTTAATGACCGATTTATGCAGAAATCCACCACACAATGACTGATAGCAGCTAACATTCAAGTTTTCCAGTTGTTGTTTGATGTTTGGAACCACAAACTGCTGCTGCTGACGCCTGGCTAAAAATGTTCCTTCAATATATTTCAATGTATAGATTTCAACAGTCACCTGTTAAATGATTGAACGGAAAAAGCGCTATTGAACCTGAATGTGTCAGAACAACCAGCAAGGAGACTGAACATTTATTATTTCAACACAGTATAACATCACACAGTCTGTTGTTCAAAACACAGAATTAATAACTTCTAACTTCACAAAAACAAATACTGTAGGACTCATTGACACGATGGACGGTGGAGAACGTTACTTACAAATTAACGTGCTACAAACTCACTCCTCTTCCTCAGTTTTATTCCAATCCTGTCCCAGCCTGAACCCGCCATGTCTTTATCCCCAGAATAGTCCTGGTCAGATACCAATACCAACCCCACTGAAAATAATGAAAATGTACTTAAGTCATTGTGCAATAAAATGATCCCTGTCAGTGTTTTACTACTATATATTTTGTTTTTGCTTTGTTGTTTGCTATATTTTTGGACTTGCTGCTGCCCTAGACTTTGGCCCCAACAAACTTTAATTTATCAAAAGGCCATGACTTAATCGCAGGCCTGTGAAAGCACATGGACAAAGATTATGCTTGCTCAAGAGACAGTGAACCAGGGCAGGGGAACATCTCTAACCTGAGGAAGCAGTATGCACAAATTTGAGCACCTCTTGAAAAACTTCTGATGGGAAACTCCCAAGAACAGCAAATTCACTCCAAGTTCCACTTGTACGTGGTCATGCGTGGTTTATTCAGTGTTTAATTCATTCACTAGACGTATATTTCCTTGTTGGATGACAGTGGTGGAATCTGACAGTGTATTATGCTGTGGCTGTATTTCAGCTGCTTCAACAAATGTTGTGAATTTAAACAGTCACCAAAATGTTTAAAACACATGCAGACTAGATTCTGCAGCTGCACCAACCTGCTTATTCAAAAGCATTAACATATAATCTCTATTATAGAAATAATATTCCATCAGTGCAACAAATCACATCATGAGTGATAGAAATGATTGGAATTTTATAGTTTAAACTGACACATAATGCACTGACAGCTGTCACCCGTGCTACGCTTTGGTACCGACCCAGCACCAAGTGTCTGCCTTCCAGGCTGTTTATTCCCTGGAGCTGTCAGCAGCCCACTGCCCGGGCTAAAGGTGGTAACTCCAGAGCTGAGCTTGTCTAAAAGAGGCAAGAGCAGTTTCTCTCATCTCAGGGTTAACAGAATTTCACTAATCCAGCTTTCTGAAACAGGGCCCAGGAGTTAAAGCCTGAAAATGCTTACTTATATGTTTAGTGTTGGTGAGTTCAAGCAATGCATAGTGCATGTCTGAAGCATCACACACATCACACATCACACACATCACACACACACACACACACACACACACACACACACACACACACACACACACACACTAGCATGCTCTAGCAAAATGTTTTACTGCAGTGTGGTTTTGCCTTCTTTACAGCTGAAACCACACTGTGATGAAAGCAAGCAAACCAAGCACCTGGGTTGTACAGATAAGTATGAGCGGTGTACCTGGCAAACGTCTTCACAAGGAGACCGTAAAAGTCTCTTCTTTGTGTGTATCCCTTGTGGTGTGTCTGGTAATGTACAGTCAGGTAAAGGGGTTTTCCACAGTATCACAAAATGTGTAACGCGTTAAGTTTAAGATATATAGGTCTGCATAAGCAGGAGTCAGTGAGACTGCTCATTCCTGATTCAATTCGTCCAAATTTGGTCATTTTGGCTCTAGTAACTGCTATGATGGAAAAACTGTCATCACAGCCTCCATTTAATCTCACTTCATCATGTGATGTCCCTCACTATAACTGTGTTAATTATGACATAATTATTATTTAAAATGCAATAGTTATGTAATAATGATCCATGTAAACAGGCAATGTTCCCTCAGCAGACAGTGTTTCGTTGCCTAGCCGCAATGGAGGGACAGTAACGCATAAAAAAAGACTAGAAGATACCGGCATGAGTCTATTGTGTCGGACTACTAGTGTATCACATTAACTTCAGATTAACAATCCATTTTCTTCATTTGCTGTCCCGACCAAACTGCTGCTGAAACTAGTGGATGGAATGAACATGTGAACTCTCAGCCTTCCCAAGATCCTCGTTCTAAAGAGTTGTAAAAAAATAAAAAATAAAAAATGTATAGTTAACTTTTGTTCTTAAAAAAAAATCCCCTTGACTAAAAAAAAAAAAAAGAACAAAGAAAAATGCCTTCACTCCTTTAGTGACGCAAGCTTGTGGGCACCATGCAGTCATCATAAAAAAGGAAGGATCAGAATTTGTGATAATCCAAAAATTAAAGATGACTCAAATGCAATGCCATAACTCAGCAAAGCCACTGTCTAAGTGTGATACTATGCTGTGGTGGCCTGTGGTGAGCAAGCCTCCACCTTCTCCACTGACATCACTACTATCACGGAAACCCAATATTATTTTCCCCCTTTTTCTTTCTTTCTGGCAGTAAAATATAGCACGAGTAGTGGCCTTTAGTTTTTGGGACATGAAGTGTGCTTTTCATGTCAGTGTGTAATTTAAATGACATTACATCAGAGGACAACGACATCAGAGGAAGTGAAACATGGGTTTATGCAAAGGCCACAAAGTGCTTCACTTTTGAGGCATACTATTTGTTCCACTATGCATTTTTGCTGATAGAAAAATAAACAAATAATAATAATAATAATAAATAAAACCTTTAACAACCACACTTTGGATGATGAACATAAATAAATGAATACATTTTTTGCTAGAGAGAAATGGTGCAAAGCTGGAATCAACTGCTTCAGGTTTGTTACTCTCTTGAAGATACTGTATAAGCGTTGGATTTTTTTTAACAATTCAACATACAGTCAAGCAATAAAATAAAAGGATTTTTTCTTGGTACCTTAACTGTTTACCATCACCAAAGGCCTAAAATATGAAGCTTGAAAAATAGTGACATGGGGCACTGAATCTGACAAATTTACTGTTTATTAGAGCACATATGAGAAAAGAATCACGTAATAATGATAGACGCTGGATGGGAGTGTTTCTGAGGGCTGGGACTCACTGATTACTGTACAAAAGCATCATTTTTATTCACTGATTTCACTGCCCAAACTGGGAGTTCAGTGCACCAGGGAAGTCTTGGGGTTTAACTAGCACAGATGCGCCGAGGTCCTAGCCTGGGCAGAGTCAGCTCAGTCTGTCGGGGAAACTTCATATATCACAGAGTGTCGAGGCAGAGCAGACGGAGGACATCGGACTGCTCCAAGCTGGAGCCAATGTCAATCACCTCTAAGTCAGTACAATAGTGGCACTCCAAAACAGCAGGGGTGCCAAGTTGCAAAATTTACAATGGTGCTTTGGTTTGTGGCAACTCAAAGTTTAGCAGATTTCTGACATGAAATTAAAAGACGAAATCAATTTAATACTTATCAATGTAACAACTATTTACACAATTAGTATAAAAGTTTTTTTTTTTTTTTTTAAATCTTTATCTGTCCTTTTAGACAGAGAAATACAAAATATCTAATGGAGAAGTGCAGGAGGAAGCTTCCAAACATGGACAGTACAGTTCACATGTCTAGGACTGTGGGAGTTTGTGCACTTGTGGTAAAGATGACTCAATACTTTTTTTTAGAGCCCTTGTGCCTGTCACCAAGGTATTGGTGGACGTGTTTGCTTAATTGCAACTATCATACACTATCAAAAATCTATTTCACAGAAGTATTATCATCAGGGGGAAGACATTGGTTGATGATAAAGAAAAGTTTCTTGAGCTATTGCAACAATAAGACTTAAGTCATCGACCAACTTGAGAATGAATCACATTTAATATATTTGAATAGATTATTGTCATATAGCACATTTAATACAAGTATTGTAGCTCAAAGGGGTTTACGGTAAAAAGAAAAAAATGTTAAACCAAAATGAAACAAAGTACTATCAGTGATAGTTATAAAAGAAATTCCACTGTAATACTGTATAAGCTGTACTGAAAACGGTAAATAAGGAATGGTATTTCACTGGGTGCAAGCAAATAAGCAGCAGTTTGTGGTTCCAAACATCAAACAAATCTGCAACACAGAAAAACAGGAAACATGTACAAGGTCAAATTTGAGTTTAACCAAGGATTTTTAAGGTTGCATCTGCAGCGACGTATAACAAGTGAATTTGGGTTTGGTTTATGATACTTTTGGTTCACACCTAGTCAGATGCATGCATACTGAATATAGTGATAGATAGATAGAAAATCAAATAAAAGGTTAAAAAGATAGCTTTTGATTTTAAGGTGAAACTCCCTAATTTTAGTGTGGGCAAGGACCTCACAGTAAGACATGGAAACAGCAGGGATGCCCCCATATAGCGACAAATTCCATGGATAGAAATTTCCCCACCCTCTTCACTCATGTCAAAATCCTGTCATTTATTATTTTTAGTGACTCCTAAAAAAAAAAAAAACCTCAAAACTGAAACCTAACCTGTGAAGCACACTAGATTGAGCAATATTGAATATCTGACAACGTCCAACCTAACAAGGTGCAATAAGCAGAGGATGTTAGCAGTTATATCTGGGATTCCTGTGGGGAATCCCCACAAGATTGTAGGTGTCTTGAGAAATCCTTCATTCATTTCTGCTGAGTGTATGATGTAACACACTCAAAATACAGCTCCATTTGGTTTACCTGTTGCTCTTTTATCAATGTCACTATTCTTTCTGGTGGGTAATGTGATGCAACAAAAAAGTAAATGAAACTAGAGCTGTCTTTCCTTAAACGTGCATTACAGCCCAATATAAATGTCAAACACTAACATGTCTGCTTTATCTGTTTGGGATTTTTTACATTTTTGTGTTTTTAATAAATTGCTGTCCCATCTATACACAAAACCTAAAGTAAAAAACAACATGACTGTCAACGATAAGGTCTACCAAATTAAGGTCTAGGTCTTGCAAGCCGTTTTTTTCTTTTCATGTTGAACGGAAAGAAACACCAACAATTTTCTCTTAAAAAAGGAAACCAAAACTCTGTTATCTGCGACTATGTGAGCACAATGGGACAACAATCTCTTACCGTACAGTATAAGCAATGTCAACTAATACCACATCACAGTATATATAAGTGATAAAGAAACACAATTTTAAAAAATCGGATCTGTTGTGGACAGATTTTTCAGATCACCATCAAAAAGGGCGCTCTGTGCCCACTTGGATTGGACTTTTTTAATTTTGGGGTTTCACCATGCAGTTGATAAGGGAAACATGATTGATTGATGATTAATAGGAAAAAAATTACATGTTCCTACAAGAACACACCTTTTCTAGCCCACTCATCTTTGTCTGCCGCACTATATAAACAGCATTAGAGGGCACCACAAGCCACAGATAAACAGCACTATTGCACATCTTCACAGGATACTTCAACCAAGCTCTTCAAAAGTTTAATATGGAGCAGTCTTTCAGAATTGCCCTGTGCATGTGTCTTCTGATAGGGTATCTTCAAGCAACCCCTGTGCCTACCCCTCAGTCCTGCTTCGAAATGGATGACCTGCGCTTCCATCTTCTACATGGCTCATGTGTAAGTTATTTCATGATGAAAGCAATATAGCCTGACAAACATTTTAGCCCATTAAACATTTCTACTGCTTTAGAAATAAGTGTTTCAATAAAATGCTGAAAGTGAAAATTAACTTATTTTGTTCTTTTTTCCAATTTCTTGTAGAAAAACAACGTGACCTTAACCACTCCAACAAATGTGAAGGTAAGAGATCTCTGCAGATCAGATTTAAGTCCTCATTCAGGATGTTGATGCTGCTTTTGCAGACTGCAGCAACCAACCCTTTCAGAAAGGCTTTTAGAATATATCCAAAACTGCAATCAATGTAAACATCAATCGATCTCAACATTTCATTATTATGATTTTCATCACTGGAAGTGTGACCCAAAGGATTGCTTGTGTCTTTCTCAGGAAACATGCTATAGCGCAGCCATGGAGCGCTTCATGGAAGGGCTGGAACGGGCCCAAACAGAATGTAATGGTGACAATGAGCGATTCAGTCAGACTCTGGAAGCGTTGAAAGTGGGAAACGAGTGCTATAAACATGTGAGTATTGACAGTTTTGTATTTCCCTATAAATTAATTAGATTTAAATTTCTCGTTCAAATGTATGATCCAATACTAAACCAGCCTTCTCTCTGCAAACAAAGACAAACTCTTCACAGTGCGACTTGGAAGCTGAGACACAGCAGTTTGATGAATTTGTGTATGCTACAGAGGCATTTGTTCAACTGCTCAACACCAAGAAGAGGCAATGATGAATCCACATGGACCCTGAAGATGTTTCCTCTACTTTATCATTATTTATTATTACCCACTGCACTAAAATGTGATTCAGGTTCTCAGTAATTTATATATTTATTTATTATTCAACTGCTGTACCACATCTGTGTATTTTGCTAATAAAATTTGAACAATTACAACTGCGATTTATGATTTTGTGTTCAGGTATTCATGCATTTGCCTGCATAAAAAGGGTTACTCCTCCCTGAAGTATAACTTCATTAGACTTGAGACTAAAATAAGAGTGGCATACTGTTGAAAAGAGGTTAACGCTTTCTTACTTAAAATGATAAAAGCCACTAGTCCATTATGGGATTAAGAGTGACACAAGTGTATTGAAGAGTTAATCAAACTCTAGCGAGCATCAAAAGACACAAATAATTCAGTCATGCAAATTGTCTTCAATGAAAATGACACCAAAACCTGAAATACGATTAATATGAACTCACTTCAGACTTAAAGCATACACTTTGCGAATGTTATAACACTTTCCAATCCCATTTTCAAGGCTGGATATCTTTTTGTTCTGCAATATATATTGGAATATGAAAAAATCCAGGAAATTTTACAATGTGTCCAGAAATCAGCTTCTTCTCCTCTACTGCCCCAGAACTTATTTTACTATGTTCTAATACCGACATGGCACGGCTGAAGATCTAAAAGATTCTTATCTCTTAAAGATTTAGCTACATGTTGGCAAGATGCAAGTACAAATGTACGGCATGGACCAGCTCCATGACAGTAACTTTGAACTAGTACAAGCACTTGGTGCTGCTGATAATGAGAATACACACACTCAAAAGCTGCCTCATGTAACTGATACAGCATGGTAGCTCAGTTCCAGTGCACAAGGAAATAAAGAGAAAGACAAGAAAAAAAACCACCATAAACCATAACACAATGCACACAGAAGATGAAAATATGTACAGTGAATGATGTGTAGTTAAGTTCAGTTCCCCAGCATATCAATTCAACCAATCAGGCAAAAAGTTCCATAAGGGGCGCCCAGTTAGCTCAGTTGGTGAAGCAGGCGACCCATGTACCGAGGCAAAGTCCTTGCTGCAGTGGCCCAGGGTTCGAATCTGACCTGCGGCCCTTTGCTGCGTGTCATCCCCTCTCTCTGCCCCCCTTTCCTGTCTATCTTCAGCTGTCACTATCATAAAAGGCAATAAAAGGCCAAAAAAAAAAAAAAAAAGTTAAATAAAAGTTCCAGGCAACATTATCTGTCACAGTAGTCGTGGCGCTCTCTCCCTCTCTGCATGCTCAGTGATCAGTTTGCTATCAAACAACCTAAACAGGCAGGGCTTGTTTTCAGGCTGTGGTAGACGACTAGTGGGGCCTTTTTTGGTGGTTAGATAAACTAATGAATGTGAACGAAGTGCACCCCTTCACTCGAGCCAATGGTGTATCCAAGAACCCTTAAATCTGACAAAATCAGTTATTATTAAGCAGCCTTTTTTTCATGAGAAAAGAGAACCTTCCGAGTTCTCCGTTTGTATGCAAAAAAGCATGACTTGTTTGAAGTAATTTACCATACATTTTTCATCGCACGTTCTGCAATGTGATTATAGCCTAAACTAAACTGTACCCTAACCACAAGAGAACCAGATCATAAATTCTAAAAGGTTTTTTGGAACCACCTACTTTGCCATTCAAAAGGAGGACTTGTTGGGATTAGGTTTAAATCAAAGAAACCCATCATCTTATGGGTAATAAACTTTTTCTATATTTTATTTAAATGTAACATTGTTCACTGTTACTGATATAGAGATATAGATCACACTCGTAAGGTAAATATAATATGACTTTCTTGTTCCCAACCACAATAAATTGACAGTTTGTGCAGGGCACACAATCATCTATAATCTGCACCTAGAACACAAGTTGCCACAAGGCTGCGTCCTTTCACACTTAATACCAGTGACTGTGTGAGTCATCACAGTAATTTTATAGAATGATGAATTTCACAGATGATGCAGCTTTGTTGGGCCTTTTAACTCATGATGAGAAATCTTACAGATCAGAAAACAAAACAAATGATAACAGGCCTCTAAGCTCCAACTGTTCTTCTACATCATGTAACCACTGAGTATGTACTGTTCAAGATCTTATATCTACATCTTTTCAGTGATAAATTGATTTGGAATGCCATGACCTACATTACAGTAGAATTGGAAAGGAACTGCCACGCCTTTGTTTGCAAATTAAACTATACATTTAATGTTCATTTTTTTCTAGTGACTGTAGTAATGTACGTTCAGTGGCAGTGGGGGTAGCAGAAACACACCAGCACAAGGCAGAGGTGGTGGGAATACACCGGCACATGATAGAAAGACGGACCATGTGGAAATACTGAGTGGAAAAGAGCAATGACAGATGGATGCAAAACAGAGCAAATAAACCAATAAAGTAATAAAAAGACCCATCATCCCTTCCCTGTCATTTGAATATGCACTTCAGGGCGTAGGTGTAACTCTCCCAAGATGCACACAAAGAGGTGCAAACTGCTTTCAGTTTCTCAGCAAAACTACAATATCAACACAAATTGTTTCATTAAATAAAATTACACATTTACACTAATAGATTATGCATTTCGTCTTTTTTATGACAACCCAAGCTTGATATTTTATATTTTAATACATATCTGATAAAAGCAGCATAAATTATTGAACATCTCTGTAAAGCAGTCTCACTGGGAAAATTCCCCTATGGGCACTAAATGGTTTTTATACCTCCACGTTGGGGAAACCATTATACATACAACTGAAACACGTTGCATATTATCCACTGATTATAGTGAAATCACTGAATATGATCCACTGATGACATCATGATGAATTACTTAAATAGGGTAAAGAGTTATACATCTGTGCCTCTTTTTTAATTTTTACTCATTTAATTCAGTTTATGTATGTGTATGATTATATGTGTGATTATGTGTGTGTGTGTGTGTGTGTGTGTGTATTTGTTTGTGAAACACTTTGTAACTGTGTGTTTTAAAAAGTGCAATATAAATAAAGCGTTACTTATCTCTTTGTTTAACTTGCACCACAGATCAATAAACCCTTTACTGAGTTGTGTTGAAAGCACAGTTAAAAACTAATTTGAGCAAATAAGCTTAAAATATCACAAGAAAGCTACTAATGCTGACCACAAAGGCCAGTCAGTCATTCTCTCTGCATGTAAGGGCTTTTTCAGATTATTTTTCTTCAGTGAGCTGTGCTTTATTTAATTGTGAAACACAAAGCAAATTGACAATGTTGAGGCTGTTTTACTATTTAACTATCTACTTAAAAAAAAGTATAAAAGTATCAGTTCATGACAAACATTTGCCCAACAGAGCAAAAAAAAAGAAAGAGCAGAAAGAAAAACCCTCTGCGCCACAAAACTAGGGACGGCCAACCTAGTTTCATAAGAGCTTGAAGTTCAATGCTGTGCTACAATAGGCCACTTTAGGGATTTTACCATGTTGTAGTAGCATCATGAGAAAAAAAAAATTCCAAGAGTCATCTAAAGGAAAAACAACGCTGTATGCATTGTATATCACAACTAATTCAGCCCACCCTTTCCACCACACAGCTCTATCTATATAAATTCAATGCAGCACCTCCACTTAACAACTTGCTTATCACACTGACAAGTATTCAAGCTGAATATGGAGCACTTTATTAGGACTGCCTTTTGGATTGTTACTCTTGCTGGCTGTCTTCTAGCAAACCCTGTACCCAAATTTGACTTTGATGACTTGAGAATCCATTTAATCCAGGAATCTGTTGAATGTGTAAGTCATTTTAAACCAAATATTTTTCCCTGCTCAGTTTGCCAGGGTTCTGCCAGTTTCTAATGCAGTCAATTGTTTTCTTCTGTCCATACAGCCAGACGATTCAACATTCTATGCTCCAAAAAATGTGGAGGTAAGTGTATATTTTTATATTATAGAGTGTAGATTTATAGTTCTATAAAATATCATGATCCAGACACTTGAGAAACTTACATGTAACAATGAAATATGGTACATGAAAATACTGTACAAAACACAATGATAATGGACTGATGAGTTTATGAATATTAAGTCAAAACAAAAAAAGTCATGTTGGGTACTCCCCAGCATCAAAGAAGATCAAGCTTCAGGGTTTAGTTGAGCTTTTATAAACCACATGTGAAGGTTCTCTAGTACAGGAAATGAGCCTGCCAGGTGTTGATACTTCACACAGCTGTGACAGCTTCTGTTCACTGACTTCTCAGCGTGTGGCCACAGTCTCCCTCAGTCTGAACAGTATAAGGAAGCTAAAATATTTTCTCTCTCGCACACAGGATACATGCTTTACTCAAGCACTGGACTGCTTTATGGCAGAACTTAACGGAACAATGACAGAGGAATGTGGTGACAAAGACGGATACATAGAGGCGACTGTCGATGTCTTGAAAATGGTGATCGATCAACGATTGAACGATGGCTTTGTAAGTATTTCTCCATGATGCATTGCCAAATGAGGCGCCAATGAAAAACTGACCACATGCAATTTGTTCAAATGGACTAAACCGACTTTTCATCTTCACCCTAGGCACTGAATAACTCCAGCAGATGTGCCTGTGAGAACTCGCCTACAATTCCTATCAGTGGCTTTCTAGACGCACTGACAAGTTTAATTCAGGAAAATGAAGTCAAGAAAAATGCTTTAGTCCAATGAGACTGGGGCAAACTTTGTGGTGCAGTTTCCCCATCAGCTGTCCTGAGAAACACTGAAAGATGTCTGAAGCAGTTATCGTACTCTGCAAAGAAAGCTCAACCAAAGTTCATCCTAGTATGAGAGGAAACGACAGACTTTTCCACAATATATACATGTTTTAAGAATGATATGTAATCAAGCAACATCTCCACGCGTTGAATGGCGTAATCTCAGGTATATATTTTTTGTGATGCTATGATTCTAACACTGCTCTAAAATATTTGCATTTATAACCATGTCATTGCAATATGGATATAAGGCAACTATTCATAATGAATATTTTTATTTTTACTACATAATATAATCTTATATATTCTCTCTCACTCTATCTATCTATATAGATAGATCTATAATTTATACAAAAAAACTGCTGTGAAATGTATGAAGTGTGTAGTTCTCTGCCAACTGACAACGAGAATGTATTTGATGTAAGCTCTTGTAAAGCTCTGAATTTTAATTTATATATTTATTGTTTATTTAATACGTTGTATGTCAGTGCTGTAAACCTTGAAGGTATAACTTAATAAATGTTATCTTAAACACTTTGATTCTTGTTATTGCCACTAAATAACATGTAGAAATTATGGAAAACAAGCTGACAATAGAAGTTTTAAATAACGTCCTCAGAAGACAACAATATAACTGTTAGTTTAACTCTTGTTTGTTGTTTTGTAATTTAATAAGGATGCTATCTGGATTATGTTTTGGATTAACCTACCCATAAAATACATAAGAGAGAATGCAAATTCTGTTTTACAGGCAGTTTTTCCTACTTAACATTAGCAGCGATGCAAATAATGTGGGAGAGGAATAGGTGTGTGGCCTCTGTGGGAGGCTGAATTTCCTCAGCGTTTAGGGCAATTTAACAAGTTGAGCTGTCCACAAGAAGTTAGAGTATGGAAAATCAAGTCATAGTGATTTCACCATCAAGTTATTTTAGGAACAAATACAGATTCTGTACAGTCCCACAGTGCTTAGCTTTTTGTGCCAAAAGTAAGTCCACTTTACTGTTTGCCTAAGTTAGGAGGTTAGCTGTTCATTGGTGTCACAATATAGCATGATAGCATTAGCTCAACTTAATAGTTGTCCTTCATAGTAGCGTACTGTTAACTATACTGCAAAAAGCTGCTATTTTATAGCTGCACAGTAATATTTCGAGAACATACTAGGACTGGTGAAAGCCACCACCCAAAAAACACTGAGCACTGGAAAGTTATTCTTTTTTCTTTTAAATGGGATATTTCCATATCTGGGTGTTTTCTGTCCATCACCCATATCATGGAAGAAGCTATTTCGTGCTATTGTGTTATGTAACTTTCATGTTGTCATGGGTACTCCGATGTCATTTATTTTATCCTTTATTTAACTTGGTAATTTTCACAGACGAAATGGCCAATAGAGTTCTTAATCCGGCCACGTTTTACAAGAATGCAGTACACATTACCCATCCTCCTGCACAGCACTTCAGCATAAGTGCTACAGCTTCTAAGAGCTTGGGTCTCAAATGTTTTCACTGTGTAACCACATCAAGAGAGTTGCATATCCTGTTTATCTCTAAACCTACTAGTATCACCTCAGTGACTGATGAAAAAAAAGAAAAAAAAAAAAAGGTTGGGCTCATATGCATTTTATATTTTATGAATCTGCTTCTGTGTGGGAGAACTGAATCAGTAACTTACATTTACAGTCATATTCTCTAAATCCTAGTGACATTAGAAAAACAAAAGGCACCGACTCACCTATGTAAAACCGACTACATAAAAACTAAATATATAATAGTAATATTAATAACAATGTCGACATGGGCACAACTTTAAAATTATATTTTTAGGGACAATGTTACAAGCCACAACAAATTCCAGCCCAACACAAGACTAGAGAGAAGGCAGCATTTAATTACACAGAGAGATTCAGAATCAGCCAAGATACAACATAATAAACAGACAATACTAAAATACTGTGGGTTGGTGCCATTTTACAGAAATGTCTCTCTCACGCACGCACGCACACACACGCACACACACACACACACACACACACACACACACACACCATAGCAATAAGGAAGTCTTAAAATATATGATTGGAAGAGGGGATTTCTTTAAGTTTGGGAGACTGATAGCAATTCTGATTTACGGGGCAGATAAAAATTACTTGTCTTGATGATCCAAATTTTCCCTGCTAACTGAAAACAACTAAATCAATTTACAACATAAAATACTTCCAAAATAAGCTTACTTGCAGCAGGAAGGGGAGGCGATTTACACGCAGCGCCTTATGCAGCATGGTCCTTAATATAACTTGCATCAAGCCAACTTTGTGCATGTGCTGCCTTGAAGGTTTTCCCCTCTACATCACCATTTAAAGAAGATTAAGAAGAGCATGGCTGTCTCCTCAAAAGAACCAAAAACAAAAAGGCATCGACTCTGGAGATGTGCACATCTGGAGCACAACCTAACCAGTCAACATTATAAGAATTCCAATAAAACTGATCTGCATTTAACCATTTTACTACATAGCTGTACCGACATAACATTATAAACAGAGTAAAGTGCTATCAGGGTTAGGTGCACGGCATTACACCTTACAATCACACTCTGCATATGATAACATATAAAACAAACAAGTATAAAACCTGGAGCTATACATACAGCTGAAAGGGTTGATCCTTGGACAAGTTCCCTGAATGCACAGGTAATTCCTTCTGCTGGCCAAACCAGTAGGATGTAAACACACCACTCCATTCACAAGACAGCTGGTGAAACACTTAAGAGTTACTCCACTGCATCGCATACACAGGAAACCAAAGCATTTCCTGTATGCGTATAAGGCAAATCAACAGTTTGCATCAAAATAGGGGGTCAACAGATTTGAATTAGGTGACAAGCAGCCAGATCCCTGCATAAAAGATGGGAAATCAACACTTCTCAATTGTAAAATGCTGGTAAATTTAGGTTTTCATAGTCCACCAGCCGCTTACTATATATACACACACAGAGACAGAAAGGCATTTCAAAATCAAACAGTATTAACTTGATAAAGCAGTATGTAGTGAGAGTAGGAAGTGCTATTGAAGAAGCAGCAGCCTGTTGCACCAACTACGTGTTTGTTCAAACTTAACTTAGTTTGAATGTAGTGAGGGAGTTACACTATAACTAAAAATGAGTTAAACAATGCAAGTTAGCAACAGCGTACAGTTATTACACGATATATATAGTGACATATAACGTAATATCTACAGCTCTACCAAGAAGGATTAAGTTATTCCTTGTTAACTGTTGCCAAGGCAGAACTGTGGTGGCGACTAATGTTAGAAGAGCAAGGGGAAATTTTTTTTTAAAAAAGGGAAGACAACTAGGGATGCTCGATATTGGCTTTTCTGCCGATATCCGATATTCCGATATTGTCCAACTCTCAATTTCCGATACCGATATCACCCGATACCGATATATGCAGGCGTTTTACACCAAAACTGTTAGGTAACAACATAACATCTCTCCTATTGTGGAATGAACACATTATGCCTAATTTTATTGTGATGCCCCACTGGATGCATACATAAATGCAACATGGCTTTCCAAATGTAAACACTGTCTGTGCAAAATAAGAGAACAACTTCAACTTTCATTGTATTAATACTGAAAAGAGCGCTGACGCTAATCGCTAGCTACGCGCTAGCTTTGGTTAATATGTTTAATTGTATTATTCACCTGAAGGAGTGCTAATGTAAATTCTAAGCCAATTGTTAGTTTGGTTAAGGAACAGCTCATAGCAGGGTAAAATATTTAAGGTGCATTGCACTTATTTTGTGTTAATATTAAAATCATTCAGCTTTAAATTGTTTGCTTGTTAGCCACGGTTAGCAACCAACCAGTCTAGTGTAGTTGTTGTTGTTATACGTCATCTAGCGCGCTAGTAAACGTCCCATGCTGCGTTCATGCAGGCTCGGAAATGCTGAAGCCTACAGAACAAACATCGGTATAAAAACCGATAATAATTCCCGATATTACATTTTTTAGTCAATATCGTCATATTATCGGACATCCCTAAAGACAACCCCTGTTCCATGTTTGACAGCTAACACAGGCTAGCATACATTTACTTCTCTTTTCATTAAACAGTCTATTGTAGGTCTCGGTCTAGGGAATGTACTGGTGCAGCAAAAAATAAATCTCTAATATAAAGCTTCAAAACAATTTCAGCATACTTGCTAGTGAAATAGATTTCCACTGTTTCAACGTACTGACAAAGAAATATAACACATCTTCTGTGTAGCACCCATGTTGTTTCCACATTATGACTGAAAGAAGAACTCAGGAAATGGGACCATCCGAGGAGCACGTAAATGCACAAGAATTTATGTTCAGCTAGTGCAGTGGTTCTCAATTATTTTCTGATGCCCCCCAGAGGACAGAAAAAAGTGCTTGATGATTGATGATTCACTGGGATGACTTAACACAGTAACATTCAAAACTTTTTTAAACTGTAAACATTGGTCACCCTTCAACTTCATCAGCTTATTCCTTTTCAAAAAGGTATATGACTTTTAAACATTTGTTGTTTTTTTTGTCATTGGACAGAGGGACAGAATTCAGTGTCTCAGCACTTTCCTCACCTATGATTGTGACCATGTCCAGTGCTGCCGGAGTATTAGCTCCTCTGCTATTGTGTGATGGTTTTTTGCACCTTGCGATGTGGCGGTGTTTGTACGAGGCTAACGGTGCGTTTTTATTTACTGATGCCACGCTCACTAAATGACCGGCCTGTTGGCGATACTCATCGAAAACTGAACTGAAAAAAGTCCAGTGGCTTATTGACATAACTGGGGTGTAAGGTCTCCAAGTGCTGTCTTAATTTGTTTGGTTTCATGCTGTCCGCTGCCACAGTTTTTAAACATAAAACACACACAGGTCTTTCCTCATTTCCGACCGTATTCACGGTAAACCCAGGGCTATGTAGGCTTCGTCATATTTCCTGGTCTTATTAGGTTTATGCCGGTTACCGTTACTTGCTGTTCTTGCCTCTGAAGCCTCCTCCGTTTTTCTTTTTACTCCTGTCAGAAACTTCTCTATCTCTCCTCCTCCGTCAGTCACCCCTGCCTGTTGTGCCCCCCCTGACACCTCGCCCCACTATTTGAGAAGTACTGAGCTAGTGGAACAGGCTCCTGGTCATTTATAAAACCTCATAATCTGTTTAGTCAGGAAACCCTTTTGGTACTGTCTCAGCAGCAACACAAGCATGTGTAAGGTCATCTCAGATTTTTAGACTTGGTCATTTCAGGGTGTCCCAATCCTTTCCTACCAACCAAAAGGTACCTAAACTAAAAACTCAAGGCAATAGCGACAGGGGTACATTACACTAGCACATGAAACAAACATTTCCTGTCCTACCTTAAACATGTTTATGTTTATCACAGAATTTCCCTCTTAAAATTTGTCAACATACTGTTATTGTTTATCTTATGTCACTACACGTCATGCAAAATGATTCTTTGAGTACCTTGTTTGCTAAAAATGACTGAATCCAATTCTTTGCATCCAAGCTTCATTTAATCCATCTAACTTTATACAGCACATTGTATTTTGCATGTGTGACTATTACTGTAGCACAAATCAGTGAATATGGACCAAAAATGTGACTTTTCTTGACGAGATGAAAACACAAACAATAACTTTAGTCACCAAACTACTATATAACAGTAATAACATAAAGTACTTGTAATACTAAAGAGCTCTTTGGACTATAAAGGCAAAGTTTAAGAGTAGGATGCAAACATTATGACCCCACATTCTCCAAGGTCATTTCCATTACACACAATAGCATTTTTTTATGTAAATAGGATATGTTTTCATCAACTGAATGAAGCAGAACTATTACCCTGTATTAAGGCCTGTAGTGGGATGCAATACAAGTTGTCTGCTTACAAAATGGCTATTTTATACAAATGTATAAAATTGTATTCCTCTTTTGAAAATCAAAGACCACAGACAGAGTTCCCAGACACAAAATGTCTCTTAAGACATGAGCAGGGATTGACCTTAATCCCTTTAGAAACCACAACAGAAACTTCTTATTACCAGCACGGCAAAATACCACAGCAACAAGTGCTTCTTGCAAATTAAACTTAGTTTTAACATTTTGGAATACAATTGCTTCTAAAGTGCAGTTTTTTCCCCCACTGATAATGTTTTATTCACATGCTGAAGTTATCACTAACCGAAAGCTTGACCAGCCACGAACCAAAGCCCTGCTGTGATAGGTATGCCCTCAGCACATTCTTGGCCTCCTGGTACGGCTTCGCCATCCTCTTCAGTGACAAAACAATAATAGGAGTATGAATAACAATGGCCCCAACAGTGAACTTCACTGAAACAAATAACCAACGATCTTCACAAAATCCATTTTAAATGTGAAACAATGTGGTGAAGCAGAAAATGGTTTGAAAAACTGTATTGCAGCTAATTGAAGATGGCTGAACAGTCAGGCCACACAATAACTGAAGATAAGATAATAAAAAATGAAGTGAGCTGTAGACTGTTACTGTAACTGTGGTAGACATCATTACACTAAACACAAATGTATTGATTAATTTCAAAATACAGGCCCTGCTTTTGATGAACAAATACGTAAATGTCAGTGGACTGGTGTTAAAACATATGTCAATGCTGTAACTCAAGTGTTACTTTGGGAAATGTTACACAGGAGCTGTTGGGGCTACCTTGGCTTCTCTGTAGGAGCTTGTGGCCAGCAGGTCCTGCCTCTGGGCCTCTTTGGCCACCAACTTAAAGCGGTGCAGCATCGCTGCTTTGCACAGACGGCTTGCCAGAGCAGTGCCACTCTTAAAGGGAGATCTACAATAAGAGAATCAGAGTAAAGAAACTGTTTTTATGTAATCACAGACAAAGCTAGCGTAAGCTAACTTCTCACAGTTTATGGTTGACCTGCCCATTAGATTTCCAGGAGTCCTTGTTTCAATCTTGAAATAAGTATGTAATCCATTTATCATCCATTTATGCTTTCTCATTAATTATGCTGTGAACAAATGATAAACTCTATATACTGTGTGTTTAAGGTTAGCCTTAGTGAGTGAAATTCGACCTTGAATTGAATTTAACTCTAAATTTTGTTTTAATTGACTTTAGTGATTTGATGAGAGTTTGGGATTGATCATACTGCCAGACTCTTATACAGTCATCCTTACTCCTCTATGGTCTTGCCCTCCAGGCCATCCACAACCTCCAAGCAGCTGTCTCCTTCGCTCCAGTTGGCACTGTAGGTTAAGTGGCTACTGTCGGTGCTGTTGGTAGCCACAGAAGGCACCAGGTTGATGTGGGGCCTCATCATGCAGTAGAACATAGGCAGCTGGGAGGTAATGCCCTCCACACGCTGGCTCACAGAGATCTCCATCCCACGGATATCACTGCAGCCAGAGTCACCTGTAGGATTTAGTATTTTAAAAGTTAATATCTTACATGGTCTGAGAATTTATCTGGACTTATTTGTGGAATGTCAGTTTTTAACAGAAGAGTATTAAGTATGACAGGTAGCATAGAATGTGAATAGGGTCTCCCTATGCAGGGAAAAAACCCTGATCATTGTAGTCTAAGGCCCAGGGATTGAACTTGTTGACTTGCCTATGAGGATGCTTTGGACATAGATGGGCTCAATAAAGTGGCTGAGTAAGGCTCCCTGGTATCCTAGCACCTGCCACTGAGTGAGCTTGTCTGTGGCAGACATGCTGACCACCTTGGAGGTAGAGTGATCAAAGGTTGACGAGAAAACTGAGAACACCTTTAAAAAAAAAAAAAAAACGTTTTGTAGTTATGCAGCTGCAGGTATCAGTTACAATGCCATTTTTAATATGGATCCATGACGCATTTAGGCACCTTTTGTTGTTTATACCATAAAGGAACAATAAAGATTGCCTAATTGAGAGAAAGTAACAGTACAAAACCTTGCCCTCCACTGACAGGTGTAGGCTGATCTCATTGTTGACTTGCCATGCCGAAATTGAGAGTGGGTTCAGGCGCCTGAGAATAGAGCAAAGCGCTGAAAAAGCATTTGAAATCTTCCAGTGTCTCATGACAAAACAGCAGCCGGACCCTCCAAAAGGACGAAGCTAATAATCAAACACTCACAGCTTGGAAGGGATCTGAGCAGCACCCTTTGGCAGTTGGTTCACATAGAGGTGGAGGGTGATGCCACTCTTCATGCTGAGGAGGCCACTGCTGCTGTTCTGCTCAAAGATCGACTTCTCCATCAGATTGGCCATTTTGCTGAAGAACATCAGCAGGTGTCGGTACAGAAACCTGACAGCACAGCACGAGAACGGCTCATTATGTAACATCTGAAATATGTGCAGAAGTGCATTTACAGCACCCAGGGTGAGTGTGAACTATGGTATGTTCAAATAACAAAATTCTAAATATGACATATTCCTAAAATATTAATTGTATCTTAATCTTTATAATGCTGCACTAAATGGAATCATAAAATGTAAACCAATATTTCCCTCTATAAACATCAGTAGTGTGACACCAGTGATAAATTAAAAACATGCTATAGTCATTGGAGGCATTTTTAGTGGCGACACATTGGCTTGACTGTGCATTCATATTTCAAACCTGTGAATGATGACAATCAGATTTGAGAAGGCATATAGTAAAATAAACATGTGATTTCAGAGCATTGGAGGATTGCTTCACAAAACAGGAAATACAGACACATTGAGAGTCATTCTCAGAAAAGGTTTGTAGGCTTGTGTGGCTGACAAACACAAACACAGATGTTTGGTGCTAAGCATGAAATACAGTATTTTCCATTACTTCCAAAATGGTTTGTACAAAGTAAAAACTTTTATAGAACATATTATTTATCCTGATTTTAAAAAAATATATATATAATTATATTCATAAAGTACAATTACCTTACATGAAAAAATAATATGTTCATTGTTCACTTGCATTTACAGGATAATCACACAGGGTCATGTTGGTAACAAACCTCATAAGTGATCTCCTTGCAGTTACAACTGCATGTGAATCATGGACAATCCGTCCACTCGACAAGGCACTCCCGTTTGTATTGAAGTTCCCGGTGCCAACAGCGACTACCTCACATCCGCCCGCTAGAGGGAGAGAAGAATTTGTACAGAGGTTCCACAAAGGACAGTGTCAGAGCGGTGTAATGTATTTTTATTTGAATGCATTATAATTTCAGGACACACCAACAATCTCAATGCTGTATGTGTAACTCTTGTTCTTTTATTATGAGTGACATATGGGGTATGAACAAAATGAACATATTTCAAAATGAAGCAATCCAATATAAACCTATGAACTATAGCCTGGAAAAATAATGATGTTAAAAGAATTCTTCATCAGCACAGATGTAGCATTTTTTGCTTTGCAAATGAACCGGATTGCAAGACCTCACCCTGCCTACTGTAGAATATATTGTAAGGTCTGGATTCATTCCAGACGAAGCAAAGATACATTTCATTAACTTATTTTTGTCCAAAATCTAGTTATAATTACATAATTTGTGTTTTCCTTCTTTAGTGTAATTTGCCTTTTTAATGAAGAGAAATGCTGTATAAATTTAGTTGGCATAAATCTTACTTATCTGATAATGACAATAGCTTAAATAGGCAGGATGTACAACTGTCTTTACACTGTGCACACCAATGTCAAATTAATTATATTATTGTACAATATAATTATTCAACCATGACTCAAAGTAGTTTCAGATGAAAGTACCTGTTGTACAACTCTTCAATAACCAACCTTCAGACTGGGATATCCCCCAGATTTTCCTTGTGAGTGGACTTACAGGTCTGAATAATGAATGCTGCTGTGGTGCCTGCACAGGCAGAGAACTCTGGGTGGCTGTTCATCAGTTTAGTGAGCTGACCCCTGACAGCGTTAGGAATCTGGAGGTTGACCGAATTCTTCCTTTCTGAACACAAAGACAGATAATAAAGAACAAGCTAACTAAAATTCAACTAGGTGTCAATTGAACTGGTCATCACACACACCCCAAATGAGATATTTACAGGGACACGTATATTCTACAGTAGCGTTGTTAGTGTCTGTACAGTATTCCCTGCACTTACCTTTTTAGCTTCATACACACGTTCTTCAAATATTTCAAAAACATTTGATAAAAGTGCTGACTTTAAACTTTATCTAAAACAATCATTCAAGAAATACAGCTACACTAACTAAGAACTTCCTTGTTTCACTTCCTTGTGTGTGTTTTCATAGAGAAATCCAGAATTACCGTGGATGGCTCTACAAGGATGGATGTCAGAGATGGAGGGCTGCTCTTTTACTGGCAAGGGTGGAGGGACACCTAAGGAAACAGACATGGAAAGAACAAAGAGAAGAGCCACCTTATAAAGATGGTACGCTCTACTGTAACACAATTGCTTTAATTGTCAGGCTTTAATTGTAATTCCCGACCAGTCTCAATAATGGTCCTCTACCCTCCTGTAACTGCTAAAATTGTGTCTTTATGATGTTAATTATGTATTATTTTATTCTCACTGCAACAGAATGAATGCCCAGCCAACCTACCATTAGGTGTCTAGCCAGTATTTCCTTTAAAAACATAAAGGACTCAAGTCTCATTTTGGCTCACTACGTTATGATGTACTGTAATGTCAACACTACTTGTACAAGGGAGGGAAACCAATCTGTTGAATGATGAAAACCATAACCAGCATTCTGAAACAAATTATACTTTGATCAGCATTAAGACTCTAACCTGATGCTTCAGGGAGGACAGACTTCTGACTTTCCCAGGTGGGCAGCAGGTCCTGCACAGCGAGCACTGCAGCCTTGAGCCGAGCCTCCTTCTTGGTAATTCCCATGCCAGTCTTGTACTCGACCCCATCAATCACCACACAAAAGGCGAAATAAAGCCCTGCTATGTTGCCTGAGAAAACAAGGAATTGATAGGAGACAAATCCTCAGCTCTGTCACCTGTCACTATGTGGAGTAAGTAGTCAGTTTGGGAATCACGTGAAGAGCTGAGAGTCTGCAGGTTTCATCCTAACCAAAGTTTAGAAATGCTGACCACTTCTTTCAGTGAAAGTAGTCATAATCAGTGAAGTCAGCAGATGTAGTATTCACTTGGAAGTTTTACGTTCCAAGTAAATACTACATTTTTGGATGGCCACTGTGGCCTGATGATCTTTTTGAGCCAAGTAAGAGGTACATTGATCCGACATTTTGATTCGTTTTACTGTACAGTGGATGTATGAAAGAGTAACAATTGCCATATTCTATATTACAAAATGTCACTGTTCTCAACTCCGGGCTAAATTAAAAAATCTGGTCAGTGTTTAAAATAATCTCAGAGTCTGATGATACAGTAGTTATCAGTTATTCTGGTTCTATCAGACACTACTTGATAAAAAAACAAACAACCTAGTACTGAAATGATTAGTCAGGTATTCGATTACCAGAAAATTAATCAGCAATTATTCTCACAATAAATTATAATTAAAGTAATCTTTCAAGCAATAATATCAAACCTGTCTTAGTTCTAGCTTCTCCAAGTGGAGGATCTGCTGCGTTTTGTTGTCTTTTATGATAGTAAATATCTTTGGGTTTTGTATTTTTAGTAGGCAAAATGTTTTTTCAAGTAACTAATTAAATTAATTCAATCATGAAGAGAAAATTTACTGCAGCACTCCTAAAACAAGTTAGTCTGAATTACTGTAATATTTAATTATATTACCTATGAAAGAAGTCATCAGGAATAAAAAGACCCACATTAGAATTTGTACACACGCAACATACAAATAATTTACCTAAATTACCAAGTATAATTAATCAACAGGCTTCATCCAACCAATATAAACAGTAGTAGTCTCTGAAGTGAATTTGAATGCACACAAACATGCTGAGGAGCTTTACCTGTGGTCACCGTCTCCTTTAATTCCAGGTGGAACTGTAAAACCTGGGCGAGGTTATGGAGTAAAGACACAGCGTTGAGCTCACCTTGCCTGTATCTGGCAATCAGAGTTTCAGGTGAGACGTTTGACCTGCCACCAGGACCTTAGTTGGTGAAACAAGGAAACATTTTACACCCTCATAGATTCCTCCATTTTGACTGTAGCAAAGTGTTTACTGTACCGCAACAGAAACCAGAGCTTATTTATTCAATGAGTTATCACTGTACCTGCCACTTGTCTGACATCTTCAGACCGAGGTTTATAGGATTCATTCAGTTCTGATATGGCAGGTAAATTCTTTAAGAGCATTTGTCCTCCTCTGGAGCCTCGAAAGGGTCGACCTGCCGCAAACATCCTGAAGGGGTTCACAATTACTGAAAAAAGAAAACACCAAAACTGTACTCCATGACTGACCTGAAAGTACACTTTAAAAAAACTTAATGATACTGACCAACACACACAGACATGTTACAAAGTCTGGAGACTTTCATAGGTTCAAGGGCGTCCATTTTCTAATCGAGTGCGACCAGCTGTAACCAGTTAATAGGTAATAATTATTACTTAGGTTAGCTGGTTGTGAAAGGTTAATAATTTCATATTCGGAAGAATAGTAGACTAATAATAGATATATCCTAGGCCGGAAACGCCAAATATGACTTTCTACTGCTTGAAAAAAAATATGAACGTTAAGTCTGACGTTGTATCTCTTTAACACCTTTATCCCTCCTGTTAGCAAAATCCTGCTAAAGTTACTTTAGAGGCAGACGCAAGAGCTCATGCTGTAAACATTTAACATTTAGCTTATACAAAGAAGAATTTCCAAACTCACCTCCACCGAAACTAAGTTACTGCTAATAATTCACAGTGCTCGGGAAGCACGTTATTCCAAACTGTACTAACGTTACTAACGTTACTAACGTTAATGTTAGTTTTTAAAACAAGTCTCATCGTTCACGTGCAGAAGTTCCTAGAAACTCGGTCGTGTCCAACGCGCATGCGTTAGGTGTTTGATTGACGGCGTGCAGAGATCGTTTGCAAAACACAACGAACGACCCCGTTTGGCAAAATGTCACAATGCTACCGTGAGTGCTTCATTTGTGGCTTTGACTGAAATGTCTTAACTATATATATGAAATCTGGCATTTTCATCACGCTTATCATTTTTTCTTTTTTTACAAGTTTGGTTTAGTTATTTGAAGCTATAGAAAGGGGGCTTCACGTCATGATGAACACCTGAGGACTGAGTCTCTACTGCGCAGACTCTGGCTACAAATGCCGAAAGACGGCAGCAGCCTTATGGCATAGTAAGCGTGACATTAAATGCCAGAAGCCATTTTTGGAAAACATTTATTTAACGTTTGGTCCTTGTCCCATCAGCTAACATGGAGGCAACAGGCTTCATGACCTCTCCTGCAGTCAGCCACCAGAGGGCGATCAAGGTGTTTTGGCTTTCCTTAGCGAGCTCGATGGTTGCGATCCACCACTAAATCCTACCAACAAGGATCTGCACATAGCCAGTCATAATGCTTGAATGCTGGAAAGTGCATGGTAAAAAAAACCCAGTTAATATTCATAATTACGCATCATCATTGTGAGCACGTTAGCATGCTGATGCTGGCGTTTAACGTAAGCTCAAAGCACGATGTGCATCCTCACAGAGCCGCCATGGCTGTAGACTCTTACCATGAAGGCTCGCTGGCAGCCGACAAAGTGCTCGCTGTGAGTGTGTGGGCTGGTTGGCAAACTCATAAATATTGTACACCATTTTCAAACAGTTTGTGACTTTTTGTGTACCTGTGGTCTTGGAAGTCCTGTTGCCCGTATTGGTTGACTGGAAAGGTTCTGCTACACTAAATGGAATAGAGCCTTAACCTTAGCCTAAACGTACCACAGCTGCTTTTTTTTAATGGGATTTCACAACAAAAGGCCCTTATTTACGAAAAACTTTAACGCTTTTCACGCCATTGAAGGTTGGAATCCCACAATGCTCTGCAAAGCAATTGGCTTTCATCCCATATAAAATAAAAGGGGCAAAGATCACCTTTTCTCTCACGGTGTTCAGTGGGTCTTCCCCGTCGATCTTGTTAACTGATAGCCTGATAGTCAGACTGAATTGGCGCTTTGTTTTATTTCATTCATTATAATGAAATCGCTGAACAAATCTGACATGTGAGCGATGATTCAGAGGTCTGAAATCAGACTCATCAACTCACAGAACTAGCTAATCTAACTCACTCACAAACGTACTTTTTACCTTTAGCAGGCCGCAGCAGATTCTCCACAAGGGGGAGCTTTCTGCTCACTGTCTGATTTATTTCTACACATGCAAATGAGAGAACAAAACTTATAAGAGCATCAGTTTAGACCAGCAAATATAGACGCATTGATATCTCCTATACACAAATAAAATGATTCTGTAGACAGACCAGAAGTAAAATAATTGTTTCGCTTTCAAAAAAACAGCACAGCGTTCAAATACTAAAACATTACTATGAACAATTGCTCACACATTGAAAGTATATTTCCTACGCTTTCTCTGAACAGTTGTATGTCTTTTCTCTACTGCATGAAAGAAACAAAAACAACTGCTTATGATTGTCAGCACTTATAGTAGCACCTTTGACCCAAGTCAAGTCATTTTCTGGCTCATGAGATCAATATGTGTGAAAGTTTCGAATATTTTCAGTGCAAGGTAATCGGAAAGGGGCTTCCTCTCTCACCTCCCACCCTCCGCTGACATGATGAGAGTTGTGGTATCTTGGTACACAGTGTCAGCTTCCTCCTCCAGAAGACATATTTGCTGCAGAGATCACACTCCTACTCTCTGTCTGTATCCACTAAGACAAAATAAACTCTTTAAATACGCGCAGTGAAGTCATTTTTATTTTAGTACCTGCAGTGTCAAATTGTAAGCGACTAGTTTTGTAGTTTAGGAATTTCCCTGCATCCAGATCACCTAAAATAGCTGTGTTCTTTGGTGTATTAAGTCACCTTACATTGATAGGTTTAGGGGTTTTCACACTGTCATGCTCTGTTATTTACTTTTATTTATGTCTTTTGTTTGACTGACATTATAAACTATGTTAAAGGTCAAACATCCTTTATGAAGAGTAGAATTTGCAGCCAGAATGCGAAGCAGTAAAATAAGAATTGCGTAATTGATCCTGACCTTGTGCCCTATTGAACTGAGGATATGATACATTGGTTAAACTCACAGTGTGTAATTTCTGCCGCTAGGGGGGTCGCTCACATCAGAACATTAACTAAAGACGTAGTTTGGTGAAGATGTCGTGAAGGATTAAGCGTAGGATTATGGGAGTTGTTCTCATTCATTATTAAACAACCATAATTGCTGATGAAAATCAGTTTGAAATGACTCAGGCAGAAATCATGTTCACGGATGTTAATGTTTTATTTTTTATTTTATTCTGAATAAAATGATAGATTTCTCTGGGTTTGAACTCTGTCGAAAATATTTCAGATAATTTAAGTACACAACTCAGCAAAACCTATAACATAGGTTTAGTTGTTTTTAGTTTAGTATTGAATGTGCCGATGCTATCGAGCTGACCTGAATCATTTCCTTCATTAAATAATTGTTACTCCCCCAGTATTGTTAAGGATCTATAAATCAGTTTACGTGGGGTGGGACTTTTTGTTTTCGAGCGTGACAAAAAAAAAGCTGAGAAACAATGCTTTCAGCATAGTCCAGTATTGGTGGCTGGTATTAGTGGTGCTAGCTATTTAATTGTAAGTTTTTTCCAGCCATGTTGCTATCTACATCACTGCAGCAATATGGCGTATTCTCCGTGCAGTGGGTGTGAGGGGGTGGCTGCCTGTGGTTAGTTGCTTGACATTGCTTATGTACAGGCAACTGCCAGAATCGAAACGTTTTGTGTGTTAAAGGGTCTTTACGAAAGGCTACTGGCTTCAGTGTTTTTGGTTCCCCCCTCTAACCATGAAGTACCCTCAGAGGGAGCAATGATTAACAATTACAAAAGCGTAAGAGTAAAATGGAACAAGCAGCCCACGGCCAGCGAGAAGTGAAGGTCACCACAGGAACAAATATGGTTTTAACACCCCCGCAGATTGTAGGGACAAGGTTTGAATTGACTGCTCTGATCAGTCACACTTGAAAAGGGAAAGGACGTGGTCTGAAATGAGTTTGCATGCTTCATCCTCCTGTTAATCTTCCCATAAGCAGCAAAGGCAAAGGAAAAAGATGAGTCACTTGACTTTGAGTGTGTGACCTTAACCACAACTCGGTTTTCCCATTAATGAAGCTGGGAGAGAAGCAGCTTCTTCTTTGTTTTTTTTTTTTCTTTTTTTTGTGGGGAGATTTCTTCATTTAGTTTATGGTTCACATGTCTGTGGAAACTATTGGTGTTTTGTGAATGATAACTTGAGCGCTGTCATCATTAAGTTTCAGAATCCATTTAAAGCATCTAGCTGGCACTCTACTAGAGTAATCATAGGATAGAAGAAAGGGGACACGTGTAATTGCCTTACAAACAGTCAAGACAATGATATAAATAGGGTTAAGGGGTCAGGAAGTAGACACAACAGATATTTATGTTTCCACAGTGCAATCCTTGTGCGGTACATATGTATGTAAATGACGAAGGCGTAGTTGCAAGAGAAAAAGCTGAAAAGTTTATCTAGCTATTGTGGGCTTGTTTGTTCGGCATGGAAAAATCATAAAGCGAAACTGCTCTGGAAATATTTGCTGTTATTAATAACCTTGTGCACTGCCGTCTGCACCCTCTCACCAGTTTGGAAAAGCTAAACCCCAACTGAAAGCCATTAAAGGCAGTGGAATTCCCCCCACTGAGAGAAATTTTCAGGACACAAACATCTCAACCAAACTCAGACAGAAACGTTTCTTTTCTTTCATTTAACATGTATTTTTGCTAAAGAAAGTTACTGAGGCACCAGGACAGGAGCACGTCACTAGCATGCAACAGGTCATGAAACAGGGTTTGATGTAATTTGGAGATAGCCACAAACAATCTTACTTTTGCTTCCGCCCACGCCATTTTATATTATGATCAATACACAAATAACAGGCTTTCTAAACCAACATTTAACACTGCACATTTTTAAGTCTACCAAATTACACTTACATGTGAGTGATTTTAAAAAAAAACAGTATCACTTATTGATCCATGTGCAGGATTTTTAAAGCTATTTGCATCTAGTTCACAGGTCAAGTGCCACTGATAATCACACGAGGTGTTTTGCTTATGTAACAGTAGAGGGCAGTGTAAGAATGGAAATAAAACTGAAGTCTAGTGCACAAACTCAGGATTACACACTTCACGCAAGATGATTCATTCAAATATGAGGGTGTTTTTAGTGTGAAATGATCATGACAGGCCTCAGTAATATGAGATAATGAGACACCAGGGTTGGGTAGGTGACATTAGGTAATATCAACCATGGGTGTAGTTATTTTCACCTCATCAAAAAAACCCACATATTACACTCACTGAGTTACTTTATGATCATTATGTAAAATCTAAAAAGAGTGTACATTTTAAAATAAAATAACAATAAATAAATCAATAAAATAAGTTCATCCTCATTAAATATGTGTAGTCAAACCAGAACACATACATTTCAGGCCACTCACAGTATTCTGTTAAGACTCATGCCATCTGGACATCAAATTTACTCTAAAGTGAACATTGTAGACCTCCAAGTATATGATTTATGGAGGGAAATAAAATATCCCACTGCCTGGACTTAACACACGATGTACACATAGGCACATGTCTTTCCAAGTACGATATAGACATAATGGGCTGTAAGAGACACTAACCGCTTTACAGGACAGAGTGCCCCCAGACCATCAGAAACCAGAGCCTAGCGCCCCATGGCTAACGCATGTTTGCTCTGACAGCACCCCACCATTGATAAATAACAGCAGCTCTTCTTTAGC